TGTATCTTATGGTGTAGTAAGTCTGAGTTGATATAACTTAGGAGCTAAGAACCAGAGAATGCAAGCTAAGGCAGCAAAGGATTGGCTTACACTGTCAAGTTCTTGAAATGCTTTTCTTTTATTTTCTTCTGATAACTCTCTTGCTGTACTCCTCTGTTCAGGTTATTCAGCATGCACCTCGCAAAGCACAAGGGTACAGCAGTGGGATTTTATGCCTTTGTCTCGTCATTTCCCCAGGTTATTTAGACAGCTCAGCTAAAGGAAATATCAGATCTTCAAGATCCTTCAGTTCTTCTTTGTTGTTTGAACAGGTCTGTCTTGGATGCAGGATAAAGATCCCTGATGGTTAATACCCCAGCTCTGCGTAGGTATTGAAGGTGTCTGCTCCCTATAACCATACAGACTCTTGTTACTCCTTTGCATTGCAGTGTGGCTAGGACAGGGCTGAGATTCCTACAAACCACTCATCGGCGTGAAACTGATAAACGTATTGGTCACTGAACAACATGCAATTAATTGTTAGTTAATCATTAAGCTATCAAAGCTATATTAAATGTTGGAAAATGTACAGCCTCTGTGTGTGCTGTAGAGGGTGTAGGCCTTGGAGGGGGGGGTGATTTTTTGTGTTACTGTTAGTTTAGCTTTGTTAATACTTGACCTTTAAAATATAGAGACTAGATAATGTAAATAAGATTACATAGACAACTTTTTTATTTTAAAATTATTGGCAGTCTGTAGCTTATCATGTTCAGAGGCAGTAGTATTGAGTCTTCCAACTTTTAAAATAAATGTAAAGTATGGTATACAGAAAATCCAAGATTCCTTTTTCTGTTCTTCCACCATGGCTTAGAGCTTGACAGGAGCAGATGGGCCAGCTGATATGATGTATCAATCAAATCCATTAAAAAAGCTCTCTGAAGCTTTCCTGGGTGGATGAGACTTGAACAGGCTTTAGGAGCTTGCCAGGATGTGAGTAATATGGGGACCATGTAGCAGTCTCTACATGCCCTTTCATAAGACAGTTTCAAGATGCCAAGTTGCCAACAACCAGTGCTTCCCCAGAGAGGTTCTCTGCATATTAAGCCATCTGCAGTTTTTCTCTCTTTTTTTTTTTAACCCAGAAAATTATTATTATTAATAATAATAATAATAAATAGGTTAATCAGTGTTCATATACTGTTCATATATGGGTTATGATGTCTGTGTGTGTTTGTGCACTGCCCTAACTGATCCAGCATGGGAAGTGCCTGCAGGTCTGGCTCCATATTCCAGGGCATCTCTCTTTGGGCACAAGCCTTAACTTGCCTGTAGGACTTGTGCCCGGAGGCAACAGGTCTAAGGCAGCATGTGCAGGAGCAGCCGCCTTTCTGTGGCTGTTAAACATGAAGACCATGCATAGAAGCAGAGGAAAAAACACAGAAATTACTTGAAAACTTTTAACATATCTGGACACACATAGGAAATACATTTGGAAATTTTTAATTTTCTCATATGCACCACATCCTATTTAAAAAAAAAAATGGATTGATATACTGTATGATTTTAAAATAGTCAGGATTATTTCTACTTTAGTACCTGTTATGCCACTGTTTGGAAACAATTTTTGTTTGTTTACATCTGGGTTTAGAAATCACATAGCAGGCTCCATTTTGCTATGGCAGCAGATGCTGGTGACATTTTATAGGGCATAAATAAAGGCAGCTGTGAGCTGTGAAGTTGTAATTCTGTCAGGAGATCCTTGTTACTGTTTGTCAAACTAAAAGAGCAAATCTTGAATGATTTCTGTATTTGACAGAAGTTTTTTCAGGCCTGCATCACTGGATACCCACTGCATTCATGAGGCTAAATTTCATGGGGTTTAGATGGTGTAACAACTAACTCTGTGTCAGCCTAGCAGCTTGGCTCTGTCAGGGGCCAAATATTGTACCTGCATCTATTGGTAAAAACCTGAATTCTTTGAGAACTTTTTCAGAAAATGCTTAGTCTTCGGCAGACTTCAAGTGCATGTACAGTTGAGTGGCATTTGTGTGAAATCTGTGTACCAAAAAGTATATCTCTTTGCATCCCCCCTCACTTTGCTATCAAAGCTGATGCAAGGTTTCTGGTGCTGGGAGAAGCTGCAGGAAAGGGAATAATATGATTTATTTGAGGTCTCTAAAGATAATGAAGGTACCTCCCGTACCATACCTCCCGTAGTCTGTGTGAAAGGTGGGCAACTCTCAGCCTTGACTTAAGATTTCAGTGGCTATGTCAGCCCAGGAGAGTTTGCCTGGGTTCATAAATGTATATTTCATATTGTCTTAGATTTCTTGGTGTCTGATCATAACCTCTGCCGTCCAGAAGAGACAGTAGAATTTTCCTATGCAGAGAAAGTGTTCAGGTGTTCCTGAAAAAGCTGCAGCATGAGAAGAAATTTCCTTTTCCAGAATACGTAGTTCACCTCTTCATGCGATAGCTGAATGAATACAAAGGGGATAGTGTTGCCTGTGCACGAAAGAGCGGCTGAGCAGCACGCGGCGCCTCGTCTCTCGCTAGGTGGCAGTTCCGCTCCGGTCATACTCCCCGGCAGCCCCAGCCTGCTTTGTGCGGCAGCAGAGTTGTTCCTTATTTCAACCTGCGGATGTGGCAAGTCAAAAAAATTTCTCTTGCAACAGCATTAATTCTTGAGTGCGTATGGTCTGTTCATTATTGTACTTGATTTGTTAATTTTTGCCTTCCACACACTGACCAATTTTACAGAGATTGTGCAAACAGAACTCTAATTTTTCAGAGATTGTGCAAACAGAACTCTAAGTTAACTTGTTAGCAGACTTAGGGAAGGGTGGTTGAGACACGCAATAAAACGTACGCCTTGAGTCCCTGTGTTTTTCTTTGCAAACCAGGATAAGTTGTATGTACTTAATGTACGGTTCTGTGGGGAGTGAAAGTAAACCTGGGTTAAGGATTCTAGGACTTTATGTTCTAGAAAAGGGAAAAAAAAGTAACATCAAGAAATTAGAAGAAATGACAATGTAGAAGGAACAGCAATAGAGAGAAAGCTGCTGATTAGCACTGACAAGACATTAAGCTTCTGAAGTAGACAGGAGTAAACAAATTATGAAAAAAGAATCAACACTTTTTTTTTTTTTTTGGTCAAGAAGGGAGCATAAAATAGTATTGCAAAACCATATATCCCTGTGAGTCCATGCCTGCCTTTAGCACTGTATAGTCCAAACCCAGCTTGCTAGAACCTGTGGGATGTCTTAAAGTAAAACCACTTCAAGAATTAACGTGAACCTGGTAGGCTTAACTAAAAAGGAGGCTCATCAGCCCCGAATTAATATGAAAAAATTAAGTAGGGATATTCAAAAACTCAATTTGAGAATCCTTTAAGTAAGTCTGGGATTTTTCTGAGTGCCAAGGAGATTTCTTGGCTTTTCTGGATGCGGCTAAATTGCCTTTCCTTGGCAACCTTTGGAACTGTAAAGATGTTTCTGAGAGGAAAATGTATAAACTTGTATAAAAAAAGTGTTTTTTCAAAATTTTGGTGCATGTCCTGACAAAAGATACCCACGCAACCATGCTGTGCAGTTTTTGGTCTTCAATTTTCCCAAATGCATGCCACATTTCTGGATAAGCTGTTTAATAGTTTTCATTTATCATTCATTAGGGAAAATATTTGACCAAATAACATTGTTGTTACTGTTGAACCGTTACTGTGTTCATGTTGATTATATCTAAGAAAAAAATAAGTCTTCTTAATAAAAATACCCACATGCACACATGCATACCTGTGCCTCTCTGACACAGGAGATGTGAAAGAAACTGAAGAGGAGGAGATACTATGAGGACTTTGCAGATGACACCTGGGAGGAGTGGCTGACACTCCCGAGGGCTGCACTGCCGTCCAGAGGGGTTGTCAGACAGGTTGGAGAGTTGGGCAGAGAGGAAACTCATAAGGTTCAACCAGGACAAGTGCAGGATCCTGGAATAACCCCAGGCACCAGGACAGATTAGGGGTTGACCTGCTGGAAAGCAGCTCCGCAGAGAGGGATTTGGGAGTCCTGGTTGACAAGAAGTTAACCATGAGGCATCAATGTGCGCTCATGGCCAAGGAGGTCAATGGGATCCTGGCTGCATCAGGAGGAGTGTTGCCAGCAGGTCGAGGGAGGGGACCCTGACCTCAGCTCTGGTGAGGCCGCAACTGGAGTCTTGGGCTCCCCAGGACAAGAAAGACATGGAGCTTCTAGAGACGGTCCAGTGTAGAGCAACGAAGATGATTAAGGGACTGGATGATTAAGGGACTTATGAGGAAAGACTGAGCAAACTGGGCCTGTATAGCCTGGAGAAGAGAAGACTGAGAGGGGACGTTATCAATATGTACAAATACCTGAGGGGAGAATGTAAAGAGGATGGGGCCAAACTCTTCTTAGTGGTTGCCTGTGGCAAGACAAGGGGTAATGGGTACAAATTGAAACACAGGAAATTCCACCTCAATGTGAGGAAGAGTGTACTGTGAGGGTGACAGAGCCCTGGAACAGGCTGCCCAGAGAGGCTGGGGGGTCTCCTTCTCTGGAGATCTTCAAAACCTGCCCAGAGGCCACCCTGTGCCACATGCTCTAGGTGTCCCTGCATGTGCAGGGTGGTTGGACTAGATGATCTCTAGAGGTCCCTTCTAACCTCAACCTTTCTGTCATTCTGCGACTTCTGCTTACTGTAAGATAACACTTTAAAGACCCATCTCAGGATTCCAATGCTGACCCAATATTCCGATATTGTGACAAAATCTGTTTATAGTTTATGAAGTCACTGGCACCTTGCCACTGGTCTTTACCCTGTTAAGTAGATCCAATAGCAAGACAATGGAAGGAAGAGGAAGAGGGAAGTTTGCCATGTATACCTGGCACTAACTCAGTAACCAAAGCTCTCTCTAGGGTAAGCCGTCTCTCTTCTTAGCAGCTTCCTTTGCCTTCCATGACAACAAATTCTGTGACATGTCATCCTTTCTGGGCCAGAGCACCATGCGTTCAAGGGAAAGATATAGGGAGGATCAGGACTTGGCAGAATTAAACCAACCTTTCCTAAATTCTGAGGATCGTCGCTTTCTCCGAGAATCCATAGGAAGTCTAGAGAATTATATACCATCTGCTACAAGCAACACAGATGTAGAAGGGCTAGTTATGGCAAAAGAACAGCTCCCTGGAAAATCTGAGGAGGAGGAGGAGCACGGTTTGGAATCTGCTAACGAGGAGATAACTGAGTCGCAAACTTTTAACCCACAGGAAAAAGGAGGACAAAATTCAGATGAGACAATGGGGCAGATCACTGAGAAAACAAGAGAAGCCTTTAATCTCCTAGCTAAAGGTGAAAATCAGAGAGCAGTTGATTTGCTTTCCAGTGTCATCAAGCTGAATCCATACCTTGCCAGCTCATACATTAACAGAGCCACTGTCTTCCTGCAGCTGCGTAAGCCAAGCACGGCCATTAGTGACCTTGATAGAGCTATTGAACTCGATCCTAATTCAGCAAAGGCCTATAAATTCCGAGGAAAAGCCTTTCAGCTTTTGGGACAATTAAAAGAAGCAGCCTGTAACATTTCCTTGGCTTGTAAATTGGATTCTGAGGGGCAGGCTAAACTTGATTGGGAGGGAGAGGCCAGTGAAGAGACTGAGATTGCTCAGAGTGAGTTGGAGATAGATAATGAAGGGATAATTGAACCAGAAGATGAGCTCCCAGAGATGGGAGATGAGAATTTGAAGGTAACTAGTGACATGATGAAGCAGGCTGATGAAAAGAAAAAGGAGGCTTTTGATGCAGTAGGAAGAGGTGAATTTCAAAGAGCCATTCAGCTCTTTACTGATGCCATCAAACTGAATCCACAACTTTCTACTTTGTATGCCAACCGAGCCAGTGTCTTTGTACGGCTGCGAAAGCCAAATGCTGCCATTAGAGACTGTGACAAAGCCACAAAAATCAACCCAGATTCTGCACAGCCCTACAAATGGAGAGGGAAGGCATATTGGCTCCTGGGACACTGGCAACAGGCTGCCAAGGACCTTGCATTGGCTTGCCAGCTGGATTATGATGAAGATACCAATGACATGTTGAAGGAGGCTCAGAGAAGAGTCCAAAAAACTACTGAACACCAAAGAAAGTATGAGGAAGACCAAGAGGCAAAGGAATCAATGGATGGATTGCCAAAGGTGAGAAAATCCATGGCAGAAGAGGAGAGGGTTCAGTGTCTGACTTCTCAAGAAGGGGAAGGTCACCTTCAGAATCTCAAAAAGCACAAACAGGTTCACTTTTGGACCTTCCAAAAACCTGCTAATGATTGCTTTAGGGAATCTGAGGAGTCAAAAAAACATCCACTGGAAGCTTCACATGGGGCTGAAAGAGAGGAAGAGCGCAGCAGAGAACTGAAGAGTGAAGATAGTGAACTCAGTACTGAAAATGAACGAGGCTTTGAAGACGATGAAGATATTCAGGAAATGGGAGACGAAAATCTGAAGATAACTAACAATATGATGAAGCAGGCCAATGAAAAGAAAAGGGAAGCCTTTCATGCACTGGGAGCAGGTGAACTTCATAAAGCTGTTGACTTGCTTACTGATGCCATCAGACTGAACCCACAACGTGCGGTCCTGTATGTAAACCGGGCCAGTGTCTATGTAAAGTTGCGGAAACCAAAAGCTGCCATTAGGGACTGTGATAAAGCTATAAAAATCAACCCTAACTCTCCACAGCCCTACCAGTGCAGAGGGAAAGCATTCCAGCTCTTGGGTCACTGGAACAAGGCTGCCAAAGACCTTGAACTGGCTTCCCAGCTGGATTATGCTGAAGACACCAATTTCATACCAACAGATGTTCAGAGAAATGTCCAGAAAAGAAAGCAAAATGAAGATAACTTTGTGGATATAACAGAGCAGATAAAGAAGGAAACAAAGAATCCAGGAATAAGAACTAAGAAAGCTCCTGAAAACATGGAAGGAATTAATGCAGTGGCCTTGGAGGAATATGACAGCTCTCAGGAGAAAGACAAATCTTCAGAAGAGGCCATGGAGAAAGAGCAGATACAAGCCAGGCAGAAGACATTAGCTGGGCGGGAGAGCACAGTGCAGAAGATGCCAGATCAACAAGAGGCTTTGCAGGAAACAGTGCAGCACCTGGAACTTGAGCAACAGTTGATTGCTTTGCAGGTGGAGTTGGAAGAACAGTTTAAAACTCAGCAGATGGGGCTAGAAGAAGAGGAGAAAGCCCTGTGGAAAGTTCTTGAGCAACAGGAAAAGGTACAGAAGAAATTTTTAGAAGAGCAAGAAAGAAACCAGTTGAAGGCTCTACAGGACCTGGAGAAAGCACAGCACCAGGCTCTAGTAGAACTGATAAAAATTCAGAAGCAAGGCAGAGAAGAACAGGAGAGAACTCAGAAGAAATTTTTGCAGGAAAAAGAGAGAGCTGAGAAAGCCCTAGAGGAAATAGCAAGAACTCAGAAAACTATCCTGAAAGAGCTGGAAATGGCTCATAAAAGTGCTCTGAAAGAACTGGAGACTGCTCATAACGAGGCTCTACGAGAGCAGGAAAGAGCTCAGAGGGCTGCATTAGAAGAACAGAAGAGAGCTCAGAAGGCTCTAGAGGAACTGCAGAGATCACAAAGAACAGCCGTGGAGCAGCAGGAGAGAGCTCAGATGAGGGCTGTCCGAGAACAAGAGCGAGCTCAGGAAACCCTGGAGAAACTTGCAAGAACACAGCAACAAGCCTTAGAAGAGCAAGAGAGAGCTAAGAATGAGGTCCTACAGGAACAAAAGAAAGCTCATAAAATCTTGGAAGAGCTGGAGAAAGCACAAAAAAAGGCCATAGAAGAACTTGAGAGAGCTCAGAAAGAATTCCTCAGTGAGCAAAAGGAAGTTCAGAAGAAAGCCCTGGAAGAGCAGGAGAGGGCTCGGAAAGCCCTGGAGCAACTGGAGAGATCCCAGAAACATTATATGGCAAGACAAGGGAACTTAAAGAAGAAAGTCTCAGTGCACTGGGAAAGACCTGAAAAAAGCATTCCCGAGGAAAAGATGCAATTTCAGAAAAATGCCAAGGAAGAGTGCGGGCCACCTGGCAATATGTTATCTGGGGAATTGGAAATAACTCAGAAGAAGGACTTAAAAGATCAGGCAAAAGCTTCTTTTCAGCAGGGAGGAGACTGGGATAAAGAAGCAGAAGAAGAGACAGCAGGTCGGAGAGCTGTTAGGGAGGAAGGGCCAAGCCCTGGGAGGAGTGCAGACGAACCCGAAGGCTCACTGAGACCAATTGCAAAGTCCATTTGGGACTTCTTTGAATCAGGGTAGTTCTCAGAAGTGTGGCTCAGTGAAAAGCCAGCAGAGAAATGTTTGCTGACGAACTGAGCTCAATTTGGAGGTCATCTGCAAGTGCTCTCTCCCTTAAAGTAAAATTTCAAAAGCAGACATACAGATTTTCTTAATGTCTGTCTTTTTTAAAATGTATTTTAAAGCAAATAATTGGAACACTTCCCACACCATGTTTTGACACACGTAAAAGTTTACCTGGCTTTCTAAGGTGAATGACAGTTGTCCAGATTTGCTACAGTTAATCTTTAAATGGGATGGAGAACTTCACCAGTCTGAATACTGACAGAAGATACTATACGCTAGCCGTATGCTACTTCTGTGCTCTCACATAGGTTCATCTGTATGCATCCTTGACACTCTTAATTCCTCTTTATCCATGAGAATGGAGGACCTCTGAGGCAAATAAATGGTGGGAATTATTGCTGAAGAGCAGGCATTTAGTGGTGAATTAGAAAGGGGAGAATGAATCTGTGGCATAGAGACCTAATTAAATGGTAAATGGCTTCTGACATATGGTAGTTTGATGCGACCAAGATCTGAATTGCCGGAGGTACTGGAAGGAACCTGCTTGTCCAGATCTCAGCAGGGGGTGTACATTTTGATGTCAGGAAGTCCATTTACAGGCACTGGCTGTCAGCCATTTGGATGTATATATTGTGTCAAAGACTCATCACTCAGATTTGCTTCTTGTTTTTTTTTTTTTTTTTTTTTTCAAATTCAATTTTTGAGGTCTGCAAGCACTAGAAAGTAAACAACAAAAAACAATTGAGGCTTTAGAGAAAAAAAAAAAGAAAAACCATGGTGTAGTTGTATTACAATTAAAGCTTTTCTCTTTTTTTGCTCTGTCTATTCTGAGCTTTTAATCAAAATGGCTCATGTTTTCGAACTTTCTTCTGCAATGGTTTTATGGATGATTGTTTCAGAGTTATATCAATTTCAGTTATATTGATGATTGAACTTTCAGAGCCCACAAATCCATATGAGAGAGCAGCAGCCCTGGGGAAAAGTGCTGCAAGTGCTCATTCGTTGTGGCAGGAGACATCTTCAGGTAATGCCCATGAGCAATGAGAGGAAGTGACGGGAGAGGAATTGATGGGCTCCTTTGAAACTGTGGGAGGAATTAAGAGGTACTTGCGTTGGACTGAGGGCTCTGGAGCTCTTTTTGTCTTTTGAAGGAGTGAATAGGATTTGCTGTGCAGCCTGACTGGAATAACTTGCCAGTTTTCCTCAAGGGTAATGTACAGGAAATCTTAACGTGACTTCTTTTCCCCTGTATTTTGAGCAGTAAGGAGTTTCTTCAGTATGCCTTGTCTGTGTACAGGAAACTACTTTCATGTCTTTGTTTTATGCAACAGAAGTTGGGGGAAGGGCTTCTTTTAAAAATACGGAGAAATGAAAAATATGTAAGAGTCACAGAGTCACGGGATAGTTGAGGTTGGAAGGGACCTCTAAAGATCATCTAGTCCAACCCCCCGTCAAGCAAGGATAAAAGCCAGTGAGCTTATTTTCTTGTCTCATCCATGTGCACGTTAAACTCCCGAGATTCTCCGCTCCTGCCTTTGACAGTACAAGTTGTTTGGCATTACAGTGACACTTAAAACCTAACACTGGAAACAACCTTAGGAAGTGAATGTCTCTCTCTCCTGCCCAGCATGTGTGTAATGGCAGAGGTTAAATCTGATCTTTGCTCAGAGACAGAAAGATTTGTCTATTTATGCATGTTAGATATGCATGTTATGCCCATCATAAGCAAAAAATCATGCAAGTGTTGTCGCCTTTGAGGTCCTGTCTTTCAAAAACAAGGTTGATATCCTTTTAGTAGGTAGTTGAAGGCCTTAATGGTGTGGATGTTGCTATATGTCCATTCTGGCTTTGGGAGCTCCTTTCCTGCAGCCTGAAGGCGATAAGGAGGTGGGACAGGTGCTGATCAGACCGTTCAGGAAACAAAAATGGAGAGGAGTTGTTCCCCTTCACCGAATGGATTTCTGACATACAGTCAGAATCTTAACCACATGCTAGTTGTATAAAGCACATTTTCTCCCCTCTCTTTTGAGGTTGGGTAACTGTGATGAAAGGAGTAAGGAGTCTCATGCTCAGGAAAAGCAAATGGAAATGGGAGTGTAACTCTGTCAGAGTGGTCCCAAAAAGTAGGGAGCAGATGTGTGAGAAAGAGCCACGTTACAATTCTGGGGCTTGGTCCCGGTTCCCAGGGGAGGGTACAAGTTTGTAAGGCAGGATACATTTGCAGGGCTCTTCTTAGCTAAGTGTCCGGGGTTTGGTACCAAGGTTGGGATCTGTTCTTTTGGGCCAATCCGCTGCCTGGTGACAACTGAGGGAAAAGCTTGTGCCTGTGGCATGGTCTTCTGAAATGCTGACGCTTGGTGGCGCTGTAGGACACGGATATATTGCTGCAGTTTGTCCGGGAATGATGATTACAAGGAAAGCAAAGTAGCATAGAGTTATTACAAAAAATGCTGGAAGTTCCTTTATTACTCATCATTGGTCAGAGCTTCAGTGTTTTGCTTACCTTCTTAGGGGAGCAAAGTCAGTGATGTGGCTGTAGAGGACATCTAGATAGAGTTAGTCACGATGAAAGACAAATTTCTTCAAAGAGAAAAGCCAGAAGTACTTCTGTAGAAATATGTTTTTCTAACATCCTGTGGTGAAAGCTGAGGTGGTTGGATCTGAAAGAAAATGGAAAAGTTTGTAATGTTCACTGCCAAATCATCCTTTTTAATATAGCATGACACCACTTTTGATTTTGCTTTAGTTATGGTACTGTGCCTCTCTTAGTAGAGAGTACAAAGATTGGGTCAGTGCCGGGTTACACATTACGTATGGAAGAAGTAAGGTGGCTATGGGAGTAAGACCGCAATAGTAGCTGTTGCGTAGCGGACAGAAGGAGCAGAGGTAGCTAAGCAGAGGGCAAAACTTGAGGAAGGAAGTTAAGCTAAGCACATTGTGAAGACTTTTGTTTACTTTTAAAGACCTGTTAATAACACATTCTTGCACATCTCCCACTTCAATTTGCTAGGAAAGGCCTTCCTTTTTAATTTTTCTCCTTCTACTCCCACGGATGGGCTCTAACTACTGCTGTTGTTACCAGCCAGGCTCCTGTGTGCTGAGAGCCTCCTTCAACCTTAGGGAGAGGCGCTTTCCACATCAGTGCATTTCTGTGGGCCCAGGGGGATCTATTTCTTCAGCCATTCAGAGTGAACTGAAACACGGCTGTTCTTACGGATGCAGTAGTGTGTATCCTAGCTCTGAGTCTGTTGAAGTGAATTCTGGTATATAAACTGCTCCGGTTTAGGCTGTGGCTGCGTTCTGGGTGTCCTTAGCGTTTCAGGGCTATGCTTGGTTCAGTTCTGAAGGCTGCGTGACTCGGAGACTTGGTAATCCTGTGTCGCAGAGTGACAGGAACGTGTCTGTGACAGAAGAATGAACTGTGACCCCTGAGGAAAAGGATTATCCCCTAATCCTGCTCAGAGGGTGGATGGGCTCTGTTAAACCAGCTGCAGTTCTTGGCAGGGCTGACTTTCCTGGAGGGTCTAGAAGGGCCTGGCCAGAGTCCCTCCTGTGGCATCACAGAGCCTGGGGCCAGATACGGATGTTGCTGTGAGAACGGAGACCACAACACTGAGCTCGTAACCACTTTGGCTGACTCTGCCATTTAGTAGCTATAAAATTACAGTTCCAGCTGTGATGTGTAATCTCAGGGACGGGGGAATTTATCATGGAAACAATTAAATTTTGGCTGCGCTACTGGGTAACAATTAATATCATGAGTGAGAAAGTAGCATCAGAAACCAATGTTAACTGGCCACTGGAAAATCAAAGCTGCTACTGCCAGTATAAGAAGTAGGACATCACAAGAAGTCATGACTACCAGGCACCACCGAGGTGGGTAGATGTGAGTTAGTGACATGCTCTGTCACCACTCAGCAGTTGACTTACTGAGTATAAAAGATCTTTCCTTACCGCAACAAAGCGGGAAACAATTTCTGGATTCTGTATTGTTGCTTCTTGTCAGTGTGATTTGATATCTTCCATCTCAGATTAAGAGTTAAATGAACAGACGTCTGTTAAAGGTTCATTTTTTGAGACCAGTTTTACTTCAGATCATAAATAATCTGCAAACTTCAGATGTCTGAAACCTCATAATGACAATGGAGAATGGAATTTCACCGTGGTGCATAGCATTGCTGAGAGGGCTTTCACAGAAGCCCTCTGAACTGCAGCCAGCTGTTTGCCTTCTGTAACAAGTCTGTTAAACCCTGGTTAGATGATTAAAATATAAATGATACTGAAATTTTGGGTTCTTCGGTTTAGGACTAATCTTGAATACTTCTATCATTTTTACTTGGCCAAGAATGAATTACTTGGCCAACCATTTTCAAGCCACAAACATGCAAGTTATTTACTCACAAGAAGGGGAGAGCTGGGGGAGAGGCTGGGAGTGAGAGAGCATCGAGCAGTCTTTTCTCACATGAAGCATCCCAGACCTTGCACAGAGGCTGTTTGCATGCCAAATGCTTGTCCTTTCCTCCCAGTACCTACTCTGTGCACCACAAATAAGAAAATGGTTTTAAGTAGGGAATTTAAGATGGATTGTGAGTGTCTCTTCTTTTTCCTTTAAAGGATTTGAAAACAGCAGTTAGGTGTCATCTTTTGGAAAAAAAAATTGTTTCCCCTTCCCCCATTTTCTTTCACTAGAAGGCACAGAGAAATGGGTGCCACATTAAAAAAGAGTAGGTAGGGCCCCAGTCTAGTTTATGGATTCCTCTAGAAAATGAAAAAAGGAAAGTTCCCTTAAATCTAAAGGATATTCATGCTAAAAAGTGAATCATTTTGTAATTCACACCATATAGTTCTTTGAAAGTTTCTGTGTTAAAGTAGGCTGATCATGGCAGGTGTTTCCCATCTAGCTGTGGTGTTCTACAATAACTTTAATGTATGATAGGCACTTTGTTCCATACACA